ATGGTGGTGATGGAGGTGGTGGTGTGCTGAAGTCAACTCCAGCTCGGAGCAGCCCTCTAGGTCAGATTAGAACTCCCTAGTAGGCTCCCAAGGCTATGATCTTCACAGGAACAGATCACGAGGTCTTTTCTCTGGTGAGGTCAAAGCCCCAACCTTTGAGTTAGCTACGATGCACCACCCACCTGTCCTGTAGCAACCAAATGCTTGTCCGTGCCACGGGGTTCCTTACAAAATTCACTGGGAGCTATAAACAAAGATTAGTAGAGTTCTTTTCTGGGGCTCCTGTGCTGCCCCAATCTTGGAGTCTTTTGCGTGCTGAGAAATTGCATGCACCAGGAAGACAACCCGTTTCAGGTGAAATGTCAGGGTGACAGGTTTGCTGTCGTGGATGATAGAATTAGGAATCAGACCCAGGTCTGTTAAGGTCGTCCTATAGGCAAGGGACCATTTACCTGTTCCTCGCACCTGGCACCTAGGAGATTATTAGTGAATGTTGTGGGATGAAATTAAAAGTGGTGGCCCTCTGTCCGAGCTCTCCTACACCACTGTGCTGGGATCACTGATAGCTGGTGGTGCCACTGACCTGAGAATGATGTTCAAGGCACCAGATGGGATAGGACTGTGCAGGTTTCAGTGATAAAAATACTTCACTGTGTTCACTTTAGCATGGACCGGACTTGGGAGAGTAGCATTGTGGCCTGAGGGTCACAGGTCGGGGCTCGGGTCAAAAAAAAAAAACAGGTTTTGATCTGGGTTCTATCACTTACTGGTTGTTGAAAACTCGTCATCTATGCATATAAGGATGACTGGTAAGACCAGAACATGTCATTGGGATGTGGGTCGGGGCTGGAAACCTGACTTTTGCAGGAGAATGCTCACCAGGTCGAAGTTGTGACCCTGGAAAGTGACCTGAGACCTCACTGTCTAAAAGCACCAGCCTTGTGTCTTCCTGCCCATAAATAGATCAAACTCAGACTACTGTTAGAACAAACCCAGAATGATTCCCCCATCCTGCAGCCAAAGGCATGTACAGTTTGTTCTTAGTATTGTAGCTGCCACTGTGCTGCGTCCCAGGAAAATACGGCCTGCTTTCAACCGGAATATGTGTACATTATGGCCACCACCTCCTCTGCCCACTTGACCTCAGGTTTCTTGGCACTGTGGGGGCTCAATGAACGGCTAGGACTCACCCACATCTTCTGACTCCCCCCAGCCCAGGGTTTTTTCCTCACCTGTCGTTTTATGATCATTCCAGTGAAACTCCAGAGGTGCAGGAATAGCCTGGCCAGTAAGGAGAGGAGCGAGAAAAAGGCAAGATGGGAAACAGGAAAGCAGAAGGGAGGAAAAGAAATGGGACAGTGCAAAAGTGAGGGATGAGGTTGAGAAAGGTTTCATAGGCTAGAGGGTGGGGGTTGTGTTTTGTAGGCTAGGAAGGGAGCCTTGGAGCTTCAGTGTTAAGTTAATTGCCAGACAGGAACTTTGAAACCAACGTGCCCCTCTTTGGTCTCCACAGGCATACAGTTCGCTGTGGGCAAGCCATTGCAGTCCACTGCTCCAACCCATGTGGCAGTGTTTTGAATTGTGGTCAACACCACTGCGCTGAGCTGTGCCATGGGGGTCAGTGCCAGCCATGCCGGGTCATATTAAGTCAGGGTAAGTGTGGGTACAACAGCTAGCACTGCTTGTAGACCTTTCTGGGACCTCATTTATAGTTATCATGATGCACTTGGATTGATCTCAGAGACACAGGGTACCCCCAAAACAGAATATTCCCCCACCCCCCAAAGCTATATATATAAACTTTTACAAAAGAACTTTCTCACCTCCAAAATACTCTCCATTACACATAATACATTTGTCAGATCTGCAATTCCATTCTTGGAAACATTTTTCATTCTCATCTGTTTGGATGGCTGACAGCACCTCCCTCGGTTTTTTTTCTTCACCTCTTCTGCATCTTCAAATTGCTGTCCTTTCATGTCCCTCTTCATTTGTGAAAACAAAAATAAGTCACATGGAGCGAGGTCAGGTAGGTAAGGTGCGTGGGGCAAGAGAGGCATGCTGTTTTTTGCCAAAACCTGGCACAGTGAGAGGGCTGCGTGAGCAGGTGAGTTGTCATGGTGGCAAAAACAGCCCCACCTCTGCTACAAATGAGGCCTTTTTTTTGTTGCACACTGTTATACAATCTTTTAGAACCTCTAAATAGAAAGCTTGGTTAACAGTATGCCCTGGTGGAATGAACTCCAAATGCACTACAAATCAACATTTTCGTCCATTCAGGGAGTAGACGGACATCCAGAATGAGGTTTGTCATGATTGACATTGCTGTTTTTTGAAACGAGAAAACCACTCAATACACTTGAGTTTTTCCCATAGTGCTGTCCTTGTAAGCTGTATGCAACACCACAATAGCTTCTGTGGCATTTTTCCAAAGCAGGAAACAAAATTTCACAACTGCACGCTGTTTTCTTAAATCAGCCATCACAAAAAAATGAGGTTTGAGGGGAACTGCTTTTATGAAAAAGTTCACTGTGACCCGAGAGCGCCTTTCCAGACAACGCCACTGGGTGCACCAACTCCGATCGAGTTGCTGGATACTTGCTTAGTGAGAAAAATGCTTACTATGAAAACTGCTCTGCCCAGTGTAGTTCCGGGTTTTTTTGGTACCCTATATTAGACTGGGTAAACTAGGGAAACAAATCCACAGAAACTCCTGTGTACAAGAGAGTTTGATATAAAGGGTAAGTGCACATCAAGAAGACATCCCAACTCAGTGCTGCCCAAGCCCACAAGTCCAACTTTAACTCATATGTCCGACACCAACCCACAAAGCCCTCCATCTCACAAAATCCACACAATGATGTTAACTGCCAGAGGAAAGCCGAATCAGTGAGTGTGTAAGCATCTCAGTGCTGGCAGGGGTCTCCACATGGTTGCTCCAGCATCCAGGGCTGCACTGGGGTAGGTCCATGCAGCTTCTATGCAGGGATGTCTTGCAGGAAGTGATCCTTGCCAGCTGAAGCAGGAAACTGGCTAAAGCAGCTGCACCCTGGTCAAGAGACCTGAGAACTAGAAAGGCGAGGCTCACAGGGCCATTTCTCTCTCTCTGCAAACCCTTCAATTAACCCTACAGCTGTTTATCTGCCAGGTTGGCACAATACACTTTAACTATCTCATTCCCTCTGTGTGGGTGTGGGTGTGGAGGGTAACTCAGGCATTACCCCCTCCATCCTCGGAAGGCCCCCAGGGAACTTCAAGTTCCAGGTTGAAACAATGGCCATATGGACCAGATGATGTTCTCTAAATTTAAGGGACTGATTAACTAACACTCGTCCTAGGATGTCTCATAGAGGTCTGGGAGGAATTGACAGTCTTACACGGCCTCTTTTGTGTCTTCCTATGGTAAAGCTCTTAGGTGGGTCTAAGACCGCTGACATAAACCGTATTCATTTCTAAATGAATCACATTTTGTGTTTCCTTAAAGGTGAGTTGTTCTGACGGTGTGAAGAACCCACACACGTTACTGATGTTTTGTTTTAAAATTGCCTCTCCAGTATGCTACTGTGGCAGCACCTCCCGAGATGTGTTATGTGGAACGGATGTCGGAAAGTCTGATGGATTTGGGGACTTCAGCTGCTTAAAGACGTGTGGCAAGTAAGGTTTTACCTTTGTTTCTCAGAGCAAACTGCATTGTATGCAACAATTCTGTAAGTCTGTGGTTTGTTTCTTCTTTGCCTTCACAGGGATTTGAAATGTGGGAACCATATGTGTTCTCAAGTATGCCATCCTCAGCCCTGCCAGCTGTGCCCACGGCTCCCCCAGCTGGTGCGCTGTTGCCCTTGTGGCCAAACTCCTCTCACCCAGTTGCTCGAACTTGGAAGTAGTAGTCGGAAAACATGCATGGATCCTGTCCCTTCATGTGGAAAAGTGTGTGGCAAACCACTGCCCTGTGGTTCCTTAGGTAGCTATTAACCTAAAATCGGCTTTATTGTCCATCTGTGGCAGTCATGATTACTGAGAGTGTTAAATATTAGTGCAGTACCAGAGGCATATCTAAATATTATGGCCAGACGTATGTAGGCTTTTTCCCCCCTCTACTTTTCTTTCCTCTTCAACATGTGTTTGTGAAAATGCACATTGGCCCAGGTGACCTCTCTTATTGGTGTATTTGATGGCCAACTCCAGGCAGCAGGTGTGATTGTGGTGGGTTTGAGTAAATGAAGACCACTACAATGTCCACTTCAAATTATGTGCAATCTTTATTATATCGGGATAGGCCAGACTGCAGAGGGGACATTTAAAAGGAGAGGTCCACCATACTGCAGCGGGAGTGTTCCATTGATCAAATATTTTTCAATCATTCAGGGAGTGAGCAGGTTACAGAAAACAAAAAGCAAGTTAAAAATTCATATATCACCACATAAGCAGTATCGACAGAAGTAAAATAAAAATATAGTTACGTAAAGTCTTGGGTCCCTTGTTTAGATCCTACTTCTGGCTTTAGTGTTCAGCTAGCTTTCCTGGTGAGGGGGAAATAAACACCTGTGGGGAGAAAGACTTAACCGCTCATCTTTGATATGGAGAGAGGGGTAGTTTTAACAAGAATTGCCCTAAGGGCATTTACAGGCCTGTGATTCCATTGCGATGATAAAACAGGTTACCTTGGGCAGAACAAAGGGGGTGAGTGCCTTCAGGAGCAAAGGCCTTTTGTGACCGTTCTTAGCCATAGGTCAATTTAAAAAAATGGAGTGACATGAGCTAGTCTATTTCAGTGGTAAGACACAATTCCATGGGGTTCTATGATTTCTCTACACTAGAACAAAAGCCGTATATCCTTCTATTAATCCAGGGTTCAGCAAGTACTGTACTTAAAAGCTTTTCCATAGACTAGGAGCATGCTATGGTAACTGTGACTGGGATGTTTATGGCTTAAAATGCTATGTACAATCAAACCCTAGCCATTGGGAATAGTCAAGGAATGTCTTTTGGCTACATTTCCCATCTATCTGAGAATAACAACTCTCAGGCATCATTTAAAAGTGGTCAGTTTTCCAAAATGTATGTTTTCTTATTTCCTGAAGCACAGATGACTAAGGATAATTTCCTGACCCTGACTAACTCAGTCATCATTTTCAATGAACCTCAGTTACTATGCTAGGCTAAATCCAATAAAACGTTGGGGCCGACTGAGGTATCTTGGGCTGTGTGCCCCACAGTAGTGTGCCGTTTGAATTGCCTCTTTTTCTTAATTGTTTTCTGTTGTTTCTTGTCACTGTTTTCAGGAAGCCCACCTTTAGTGAACACTCCTCACCGCTTCTAATTTGTGGCTTCTGATTACTTGGGTATGAACCCAGAGAACGTTTGGAAATTAGCACCCGACCATGTGTGCGTGTATGTGTGTGCGTTTAGGAATGGTGGAAATTTTTCATTATCTTTTAATTCCATGTTTCCACAAACTTTTTGGAGCCTCTCCTCCCACTCATCAATCTAAGATTTAGTCTGAGTGTCTCTGTGACCTTTCTCAGGCAGTCCTCGGGAAGTGTAGTGCCTTCTCTTCCGAGAGTGTTCAAGACTTGTGTTCAGAAAGAGGAGGTTGTTGACCAATTGAGTCAGAGTAAGAGCTGTTCCTATAACCACACACCCCCTTAGATGAAGCTGGCATTTTTAGTTTGGCTTTCCATTTTTATCTGAAGCAACCCTCCCGAATCCTTTTTCTCCATTCCACTATAAAATTAACCTATAGAGGAAAAACCCTTTCCCTCACGGTCTAGTTAATATGTGTTCCAGTTGCCTTAGGGAAACCATTCGTCTTCCATGGCACCCTGTGAATTGGAGATCAGGTTCTTCTAAATCAAAAAGGACAGTAAAGGGCTTTGCTTTTCAGGAAGCACACAGTTCGTTTTCTAAGAATTTGATACACCACGACTAGAAATTCTGCTTTCAGGCTTAGCTGTATCTTGCTGGCAAGAAAGAAAGAAGACATGAAATGAGCTGTGATAGGGGTTTGAGCAAGAGGAAGTAGGGGTTAGTATCAGCAGGCCATGGGTGGAGCCAGCCCAGTTCAAAGGATCAGAGTCACCTTTTTGCCCCAGCAGATTTTCCAACACGGAAAGCTGAGGAACTGAGCTGGCTAGCCTTGAGAAACTCTCAAGACAAGCCCACTAATGCTAACAATGACTCAGCTTAGTTCAGCCCTAGTTTGTCTGTGGGTTTAAGTTGGTTTCTTAGTACCTCACGCAGTAGGAAATTTCCATCCTAGAGCTATAGCTTCAGTACAGGAGACGGCAGGTGATAAATGTTCCTTGTGGAATGATAGCATGAGCTGCTCACCGTCTGAGATTTTTTAATCATGGCACGTCTCTCATTCCTGCTAATCCCAGGTGGTTTTCAGAGAGGAGCATTTCAGTAAATTCACCTCTAACTATAATTGTCGGGAGACCCAGCTTTAACCTGGAGGCATAGGGACTAAGTCACATGGTTCAGAAAGGTCAGAGACTCTGTTCTTTGACTTGAGCAAATAATCTGGCTTGCCAGAGCATGTCCCAGTGACTTACGGGGTACCCTGCCCTTGTCGGAAAGGATGGTAGGGGAAGAGCCGTTGACTACACCCTTCTTGCTCCAGCTGGCTCTGGCGTTGCATGGAGTGGAGGTGAAAGGCTGGCAGGGCGCAGTGAATGTGGGAGCCAAAAGAGGAATCTTTGCAGTTTTCACTCCTAACTCATGTCACTTTTATTAAAGATTTCATTCACACCTGCGAAAAGCTCTGCCATGAAGGAGACTGCGGACCGTGCTCCCGGACATCAGTTATTTCCTGCAGATGCTCTTTCAGAACAAAGGTAAATCCGAAACAATGCCAGAGCAACCCCACCTCTGCCTTCTGGAGGCGTGATCACGAGAGGAGAAAGGATGCACTTTGTGGGCCGATTAAGATAGCTTGTTAGTGTCTGTTCTTTGAAAAGGTGATGCAGTTTTATTACTGTCACACCATGTATGACACATTCAGTCCAGCTAGCGTGTACGGACATCTGCTGTGGGCCAGTTGTAGGACAGGTTTTGGGGGAGGGGGAGCACTGGAGCCTTAGAGGCCAGTAGTGGGGAGAAGACAGGTGCTGCTCGGTCCTGTGTACACAGCCCAAGAGGAGCAGGCTGATTGCTGATCGGTCCATTTCAGTCCCTATCAGCACCTGGCCCAGCAGAGGACAGGCTAAGGTGGAGATGGAATTCTGAGCAGTTGGTTCTATTTGCAAAAACCTCAGTGGGGAAGGAGACAGAATACAAGAACTAGCAAGTATTAGTGTGTACTAATGTTTACTTCAGAGGGTTTTCTTTGATATGGGGGGGAAATGAAATTGCGATAAACAGATGAGGGGCCATAGGAGGCCCCTCTAAGCCTAGGCAGGGCTGGGAGCAGCTGGGTCCTTGGGAGATGTGCTCCTGAGGCTTGAGTGGGATTTGAAGTGGAAAACCTCTGCGTCAATTGAATTTTGGCAAATAGAAGTCTTATTCTCAAATGACGGAATGGTCTCACGATTTCTAATGAAGTTTACTTTGGCTATGGAATGGACTTTTCCACAAAATGAGTTTTCTAGAAAGAACTTATTTCTTAGAATTTCAAAGGTGATTTTAACTTAATCACTTTGGTGGCAGTCTTGGGGAAATGTACCTTATATTGTACTACCTCTTCAACAAAGAATATTGTAGTAGGGTAATTCAAGAAGTATTGCTACAAATATATAGAACTCATTATTAAATAAAAATATCCCCAAAATGAAGCTCTTATTTTTGGGCACCTCCTCTACCCAGGTCTCCACGCTTCTCGTGGTGGTGTCTCCACCTCACGCACCCTTCCCTGGAGAATCCAGCAGGCTGCGTTTACACCATGTCTAAATGGCGGTCTGGGCATCCTCGGGAGACTCAAATCACGTTCCTTTAAATGTCTGAGTTGGGGGGACAAAATGAAGTTGGAAGGGGCAAGATGAGGGCTGGAGGATGAATGGGGTCAGGTTACCCCATGAGATTCCCATAGGACAGTTCTCTCTCCCCTCCTGGGATGAGCAGGGCATTGTAGTGTACAACTGAGAACACTTAAGTACAGCCACGCTCTAACTGCAGAGACGTGTCTGACCAGGTCTTACTGGGAGGGGCCTGTGCCTGTGGGAACTGGAACCACTCGTCGCAGTACTTTCCAACTCACCCTCAGACTGACGTTGTTACTGGAAAGCCCTGTGTCTGAGGGCATTCCTGAGAGCCTTGTCATTCCTCCCAGTCGCAGACACCACGCCGGCATGACCCTTCTCCTACGGTGTTTGCAGTGACAGGCCTCGTCGCGCACGCTGTCAGGAGTGGCTTTCACTCGGCATGGCGAGGATGGTTGGGGAACTTGTCCACGTCACTCATCCTGGCCAACTCATTCATTTATCTCAAATTGATACTTTCCGGCCAAGGAGCTTTGCTTTCTTCAACTTCTCGCTTTTCCGATCGATTCTGCTGCGCGGACGTTAGCCCCATCCCAGGGCGTTTTCACTGAGAAGAAATGCCTTTTTCATGTTACCAGTATCTGAGTCCATAGCAGCATGTGGACGATTCGAAGCAAATCCAGATCAGACACTGGGAAGCCAGCAAGACCCCCTTTGTCCTAGGGGGTCCAACTTCTCCCCAGAGACAAGCCCCCACTTCGGAATCATGCCTCAGCAAAATTCCATGCGATGGAGCTTCGGGGCAGTCCACACAGTTACAACTTTTGTGGTTGTCTGACTTTTTTTTTGCAGTTCCACCATGTTGTCAGAGGCTCTTGAGAGCACACAGCTCTTTGCCCCTACATTGGCTGCTACCAGATTATCGCATAACGTCCAGTCTGACATCTGCTCCTAAGGGTTTCCTGTCTGGGCCTTCCATCACACCAGGACTGCTTTTTGCTTTCAGAGCCCTGCCTCCCTCTAGCCACCCCTCTTGACATCCTGATGTTAGAATTCCGAGTCTGCGCTGAGGACCCCTGGGCGCCTAGTGGAGTGCAGGTTGGGCTGTTAACCTCCAGGTCAGCAGTTAGAAACCACAGGCCACTCTGCAGGAGAAAGATGCCGCTTCCTGCTCCCATAGAGATGAACCCACAAGGGCTGGGCTACCCTGTCCCTTAAGGGTCACTTATGAGTCAGAGGGGCTCATTGGCAATGAGTTTGATATTAAGGATTAATATGCTATGAGTTTAGAACCAGACCACAAAGATCGTTAGAATTACATTTGCACAAGAAGTCAGGAAGCCTGGGACCTGCTGTCAAGCATGTGAATATAAGGACTGGGCCAGCTTTAGCTCCAGTTCCCTGGGTAAGTGACTGCCAGGGACCTGCAAGTATGTGGGAGGTGTGCATGTAACATTTCACACTGTACCGTAGCTGCGTGGGTTTGTTCCTGAAGTACTTGTTGTTTTTTTCCACAGGAGCTTCCGTGTACCAGTCTCAAAAGGGAAGGTATGATCGGGAAATGGCAGGAGGGCACTGTCTGGGGTGACAGGAGTGTTTTCTCTCTGAAGAGGGTTTGGCTTATGCACACACCAACCTTCAGCAACTGTCTTCTTAAGATTTCTGGGCTCATCGTATATAAGTATATATATAAGTTTTATAAGTACATTAGTTTTACCTGAGAAGAAAAATAAAAGAACCATAAACTAACTTGTAGTTGATGATGCAAATGAGGAACTATTTCGGGGAGACACAGTGATGCTTTCAAGTTAGTTTGAAATATATAGAATAAGTAAGCTATAGGAGATGGATAGGAGAATGGATAGATGAGTTAAAAAGTAAGTATAGTGAATATTCATGGTAGATCGGAGCTAGGGGATGGGCATAGGAGTATTACTATATTCTGAGAGTTTTTCATAATAACTTGGGGAAGGTGAAGGTAAATACTGTCTAGTGAAACAAACTATTTGTACACTGGCTTTGATGTTCGGTCCCCATACATGGACCAGGGACTTAGGCGTGAAGCCTCAACTATTGTTTCCTCATTGACCCTGGGCCCTCATTTCCCACTTGTAGCCTTGCTCTCTTCCTGTTTTCCTAGCTACCACATAGTCTGTTGTTGGTGCCCCCTTTAATCCTCTGAGAAAAGGCAATCGAGGAGTGAGTAATAAAACAAGAGCTCCACTTCTGGTCAGGAAGAAGGCTGTCAGGATGCTTCTAGCCGCAGCTAAGTGACATCCGCAGTAAAGGGCAGGCTCGAGGCAGAATGAGTTCGGGGTGTGTGAATTCCGAGAGCAGTGGGTCCACGACTCAGCCAGCTTCTCTGTCTGTGATCTTGGCTTTTCCTTCATGGCCTCAATTGGCTCCAGCACTTGTACAGCCTCCCACATCGTTACCCGAACTCAACAACATGGAAAGGAAAGAAAGGGAGTCTGTCTCCTGGGTCTTTTTAAGGCCCGCAGTACACATGGTATCACATCTTGTTTAAACCATTCACTAGTAAGGGAAGTTGAATTACAATGATGAGATACACTGGTCAACATTGCCCCCCAGCCCGAGGAGCACATGAATGTAGAATTTATGAATAAAATTAAGATTTGTTAGCCTGAAGAAGCTAGGGAGTGGCTGTTGAGGTGACTAGCAGTTTTGTCTCAAAACCACATTCAAAGTTTTGGTTAATAAAAAATAATTACAAGGAACTATATGTGACCTCCTCCCTGGGGGACGGACAGCAGAAAAGTGGGTGAAGGGAGATGTCGGACAGGGCAAGATATGACAAAATAACAATTTATAAACTATCAAGGACTCATGGGGGAGCAGGGAGGGAGGGGAAAAATGAGGACCTAATGCCGGGGGTTTAAGTGGAGAGAAAATGTTTTGAGAATGATGAGGGCAATGAATGTATAAATGCGCTTTACACAATTGATGTGTGTGTGGATTGTGATAAGAGTTGTATGAGCCCCTAATAAAATGATTTTAAAAGATAAATAAATAAATAAAATAAAAAATAATTAGAAAAGAGTATAAAAGTATTATACTTTTAAAATAAAAATGAAAACATAGCCTCGCCCCATTCTTTTCCCTTCCTAAATCAGTAGTTTCTTGGGTATGGCTCTAGATCTTTTTCTGCATTCATGTTCACACATTCGTGTGTTAGGGTAGTTTTTCCCTTGAAAGTTAGGCTTAGACTAAACCTGTTGCAACTTGGTCTTTTCTTTCGCTAATATATCAGGTGTTGAACATTTTTAACAACAACCATTACATCCTGCAGTGTGTGTTTGGCACTCTCTTCTGCAGACTACATCCCGTCGTGTGGATGCGCAGTTCACCACGGCCGTGATGGTGGGCAGGTTTCAGGTGGTTTCCTAGTTTGTCCCATTACAAGTAGTGCAGTCACCGTCCTGTCCACTTTTTACAAAGTTTTCAGGACAGAAAGATTCATTCCTGTGTGAAAATGCAGAGCCTTGTGGAAGGACACCCCACATGGCCATCACTCTTCATCAGTAATTATCAACATGTCTCTCTACTGTTTCATCTCATTCTCCCCGCCTTTGTATTTTTGCTGAAGGGCTTAAAAGCAAACCCTGGATTTCAATCGACTTCATTCTAGCTTTTTCCCTTTTTTAGAAGTTGAGGTCAAATATACAGATAATCGACCTCATCTCATGTTCAGGTCAGTGTCACGTAGAACACCGGTAGTGCGGTGCGACCGTCAGCGCGTTTCCTTCCCACCGGGGTGATCACTCTACACGGAGACCCCCTCCCGGACCAGCAAGCACTCATCCCCATCGGCCCCGACAAGCACTCAACGACTACTTAGGGAATTCTGTAGACCACTTATTCTGGTTTATTTTTTGTTTTTATTTTTTTCATTTAAGTGGAATCGTACAAGGTGTGGTCTCTAGTTTCACTCAGCATGATGCTTTCAAGGTTCATCCATGCCGTAGCATGTACCTTCCTTGTTTCTCTCTTATAGTAACTTTTCATCGTTTGTACCGCATTTTGTCTGTGCGTCAGTTGATGGGGTGTTTGGGTTGTTTCCACATTTGAGCGGTTGTAAATAACACTGCTATGAACATTTGTGCTTTAAGTTTTTGTTTGCATACCAATTTTCAGTTATTTGGGGCATATACAAAGGGACTTCAAAAAGTTTGTGGGAAAATTGGTAATGGGGATTTTCCATGAACTTTTGAAGCTCTGTTGTTTACCTTAAAGTGAAATTGCTAGATTATGTGTTAAGTTTTTACCCTTTTGAGGAACTGCCAAATGTTGGTAAACTGCCGCACTGGTTTACATTCCTGCTGGCATTGTACACGTGTACAGTTTCTCCACTTCTTCACCACTATCCTCCATTCTTAAAAAACTAGGCATCCTGGTACGTGTAGAAGGGTACCTCACTGTAGTTTTGATTTGTATTTCGCTAGTAACTGATGATGTTGAACATCTTTTCATGTGCTAACTGGCCATCTTTGTATCTCCTTTGTATCTCCTTTCAAGCACTGTTCCCATTTTCTGATCAGATTGAGTTGTCAGATAGATTAAAATGGATTTTGGATAAAAGATCGTTATCAGATGCATGGTTTACAAGTATTTCTCACAGTCTCTGGGCTGTCATTACACTATCTTGATAGTATCCGCAGATACAACCAAGGTTTTCATTTTAATGAAATCTAGCTTAACCATTGTTGCTCATGCTTTTGATGTCTTTACTTGTGACAGTGTATCTGTAGGAAGGATTCCTTAAAATGGGATTGCCCTTTCACTTTAGACAGATATGTAATCTATTCTCAAAGTTCATGTTTCTATCCACTATGTCTGAGTGTACCTTTTTTCTCCACACGCCTGCGCATACCAAATAGTAATGTTTCTTTCTTTTCTTTTTGAACAATCTGGCAGGTGAAAAATGAGATCCTGTTTTTTTTTTTGAGATCCTATTTTAATGCACATTTCACCATCACTGATTTGTTTACATTTTTACCTTTGTATTGCTAAAGCATGTAGTCCTTCAGATATTTATGGAATGAATGTACATATCCTTTGTCTGTTTTGTTTTGTTCTTTCATTGGCCACAGCAGATGCTACATTTATGTGTGACAAGCGGTGTAACAAGAAACGGTTGTGTGGACGGCATAAATGTAACGAGATATGCTGTGTGGTAAGTGGGCCTGTCATCGGGCACAAGCAGAGCCCAAGTGTTCAGGGCTGGCCTTCTGGAAGCCTCGGCCATCAGAAACGCAGCCCAGACTTACAACATTGGGGGTGGGGGGGACCTGAGCAACAGTCAGAGCTAACATGAAGCTCACCCACCCTCGGCAGAGAGGGATTGGGCCTCTTTGAGGCCGAGCCATGGAGAGGTCAGCCCGTGTTGTTCAGTGACAACATGGGAAAGGGGACAGAAGGAAGAGAGGCCTCACTCTCCGCGCCCATGGCCACAGGTCCTCTGTGGGGGATGTGGGGCTGTCCTCACAGTTTGAAAGAAGCAAGTTTGGGTATCTGAAAAGATTTCACGTCTGTGGTGCTAAACCAAGAAAGCATTTTTTGTTGTTGTTGCCGCCTCTGTGTTTATCACACACACACAGATTGCTGTTATTGAAAAGTTTATATATTGAGAAATTCGTCTTGGAGTGGCGAAGCTAGGCTGTATCGGAAGACTTGCAAACCAGTGTTTTAAAACTTAAAAAAAAAAACCTTCAAAATCTCCCTCACTTTGACTTCATTTGGAGAAAGATCTGAAATGGATCTCATTTCTTGTCTTTCGTTGTAATAAATTAGAAAGTGTGGTTTAGAAGTAGTCTTTTTTTAATGCCTCATTGAGCATTCTAAACAGATGCGAAAACAGAGAGTACCATCTGATGCGGGTCCATATGCTCAGTATCCAGTGGGTGCTTGACACTCTCTACCCCAGCCAGTGCCCCTGCCCAGATGCCTGCAACTACAACCCCCGGCTTCCTGTCCTCCAGAAATGTGGAGAATTGCCTTTTTATTCATCTTCCTGCTTATGGAAAATATAAAACAGAGGCCGTTTTACAACAAATGTAAATCTCTTCCCAGGACAAGGAGCACAAGTGCCCTTTGATTTGTGGGAGGAAACTCCGCTGCGGCCTTCATCGGTGTGAGGAGCCTTGCCATCGTGGGAACTGCCAGACATGCTGGCAAACCAGTGAGTGTCTTCACTGTCTAGTATATTGTCAGAGTTCGTGAGAATCAGAGGCATAGTATATTTCCAGAGCTTGGTTTGCTCTGATAGGTAAGGGTATCCTGAACCCTCGTTGTTAGATCCCATCAAGATCATTTTGACTCTCAGCAACGCCCCCCTGTGACAGAGTCAAACTGCCCACCGTTTTCTCTCGGCTGCACCCTTTATGGGAGCAGGTCTCCAGGTCGCTGTCCTGCAGAACCACTGGGTGGATTTGAAGCACTGGCCTGTCATTTAGCAGCTGAGCACTTAACTGATGTGCCACTTTAAGAAAAAACAATAACAGAAGTTACAACCTAGTGCCATCTTGTCTCTGTACAGAACTTGGCGCAGAAGCAGCGATCTTGACTGAGATCCCCCTTGCCTGCTATTGCCTCGGGAATACTATCGACCCAGCTTTGGACCTCAGCAATCTTTTGGCTTCCATTAAGTCAGCAAACTTTTTGTCTTAGAGCTCATTTACAGTCTCAAAATTACGAGAACCCTAAGTAACTCTTTGAAATATCTTGCTGTATTTACCGTATTGGAAATTTAAACCAAGCTAACTTTGAATCATGTTGCATTTTTAAAGTAACAATATATGCCTGTTACATGTTAACTGTATCTTCCAAATAAAAAGCAATTAGTGAGAAGAATTGATGTCTGGTTTAATAGAAGACAACTGGATTCCTATTCCTGCCTCTGCATTTAATCTATCCGGGTGTGCTTGGTGTATGGAAAAAGTGTCACTTCACACACAAGTAGCTGGTTGGATAAAGAAGGGGTATTTTCAAAACCTCAAATGAATGTGGATGGACTTCTTTGATACGACACCCAAACTCAACTGCCTATCAGAGAGGAATTGAGTCACTATTTTATTTTTGTTCTCTGCGATATTAAAGTTCATTGAGGTTTTTATTCCCATGCATGATTTTACAACAGCATGTGTTGCTCATTTGCAAAATAATATTTGGGTTATACAGATCTTTCAAAGGTTGACATGTTTCATGTTATATTAAAAACACATCCATTACTACAACCAGTAGTCCAAAGTACGCACTAGTAGATACAAATTTTCCAGAATTCTGTCTCCCTGTGAAAGTAAATTTTATCATTGGTAACCCATTTAGTCTTCTAGAGGTAACAGGCTCACTTTGTAATTTTGGAGAAAATGACAACTGCCAAATAACCCAGGTCTGACTAACCGTAGGTCATCTGTCACTGTCAATAAAAACGCTATTTTATGAAGAAGAGGTTAGCTCAGTTCACTATTCAGTGGTTCTCTGAAGTTTATATTCAAACATAAGTTTTTATATGCTTTTTAATTACCTACTCTCTACAAAATCTCTACTCATTTATCTAACCAAAGGGGAGTTCAAAAGAAGAGTTGTGTTTTTTAGTGGAAGTCTCCTTGGTCCCTCAAAACAAGGTGGTCAGCCGACATGCTGTTTATAAATACAAGTGACAGGGTGTTGGTTTCTCATGAACCCAGAATTAGCTGCAAGGAAACATGGATCAGTTCTTATCAGTCTACTACTTTGTCATCAGCTCAAATTTAATAAAATGTTTGCTTTAATAAAAAAAGGCAACTCCACAGCAAATTCTCCTCTAGAAATGAGCATTAGGATATATATGTGAGTGTCCACAGAAATAGAAAAACATACATAGGTGCTCACACACCCCACACTCAAGGATGGTTTTGCTCCACCTGCCGCTTCCCCAGGCTTTGATGAACTAACCTGCCACTGTGGCGCGTCCGTGATCTTCCCGCCAGTGCCCTGCGGTACCAGGCCCCCCGAGTGTACCCAGACCTGTGCCAGAGTCCACGACTGCGAGCACCCAGGTGAGTGCCAGTCCCGCGCCCCGTCCCCATAGCCAGCCCCTGCAGGTGTGGCTGCACTCAGGAAGGTGGCTCTGTGCCAGAGCTGCTGCTCTCTGCCCTTCGCTGCTGTGTGCTCTGGGCTGAAAGGTCAAAACCGAAAGGTCAGAAAAAGCCCTTGCAAGTCACTTGCTTTTTTGTCGTTACAAAAGCAATCTGTGTCTTGTGAAGAAGAAAATGGAGATATATCCAAAAGATCTGCAGTGAATCATCCATTATCCCTCCTTTTAAAGATGACAGGGCGCCCACTCCAGGACGTTTTCCACATACAGATCAATGTGTGTGTGCGTCCGTCCGTGTGGACACACGTTGGTTCCTGGGCAAAAGTGCTAGCCTATTGAAATTACTGACTAGTTAACCAGCCTTTTTTTCTCAATACTGTATTTTCGACAGAAAGCCAGCTCCTTTTTACTCTCCTGTGACCATTTTTCAAAAGTAGCCCTCGCTCCTCTTTTACAGAGACCCATGCCCGTGTCCTTTGTAACCCATGTGAAAGATTGTGTGGCTTCTTTAGAAGTGGCTCCTGGCTTTCTCTCTGCAGTGTATCATTCTTGCCATGGTGAGGAGAAGTGTCCCCCGTGTACTTTCCTGACTCAGAAGTGGTGCATGGGCAAACACGAGGTAAGGCATCTCGCCCGTCCCTGCTCACGGCGACTGCACGTTGATGTGCATCAAGGTCTTAGTGCAAGTACATTTACTTCAAAAAGCCGAGTTATAATAGGCATGAAATGAAATGTATCTTTTGTAGTGTACAGAGATTCGAGTTTTCACAAAGGCATGCCCACAGTCATGTGAGCACTAGCATCATCAAGATACAGAAGGGTAATCACCCCACATATTTCTTTGTGCCCCTTTAAATCATTCTCTCCCTGCACCTCCAGCCCCTGATAAACACTGGTATATTACCTGCCCCCCACACCATTGTTTTGTTCCGGAATGGCCTGTAAGCGGAACTTATCAGTGTTAGCATTTCAAGCCTGTTCTGCCGTCATTTTTTTTTAAATCATTTTATTGGGGGATCTTACAGCTCTTATTCCATACATCAGTTATAACAAGCATATTTGTACATATGTTGCCATCTTCATTTTCTAAACATTTACTTTCTATTTGAGCCCTTAGTATCAGCTCCTCGTTTTTCCCACCCTCCTTCCTTTCCTCCCATCAAGTGACCCCTTGATAAATGATAAATGATCATTGTTTTTTTTTAATTAGGGGCTCATATGACGCTTATCACCATGCATACACACATCTGTTGTGTAAAGCGCACCTGTACATTCACTGCCCTCGTCATTCTCAGAACATCTGCTCTCCTGTTTCCGTGTCTTACACTAATCACTGTCTCCCTTCACCCACGTTTCTGCTGTCCGTTCTGGGGGTGGGGGTATACGTCGATCATGGCCGTTGGTTACCCGTTCTTCCCCCCTCCTCTCACTTTCCCCCTGCCCTCCTGGTATCGCTACCCCTTTTCCTATTCCTGAGGGGTTTATCTGACCTGGATTCCATGTGTTGTGAGCTCTTATCTGCACATGTACACATCAGTGTACGTGCTCTGATCTAGCCAGAACTGAAAGGCAGGACTGGGGTCATGAGAGTCGGGGGTGAGGAAGCCTCAGAGAACCAGAGGAATATTGTGTGTTCATCAGTGCTCTACTACGCCCTGGTTGACTCATCCCTTCCTTGTGACCCTTCTGTGAGGAGGTGCCCATTGTCTACAGAGGGCTTTTAGGTCTCTGCTCCGACTCCCCTCGTTCTCAATATGTTTTGTTGTTTGGGTCTTCTGGTGTCTGCCATCATTTTTAGTCGGTTTACAACTAAGTGAAACTGAGCCAGGCCCACCAGAACCTGGACTGTGTTCAGAGACAACTTCCAATAAGCCTGAAGAGGGGGCACTATCCTTGGGTAGAGGTGGGCCCTCCCCTCCCCCACAGTCTGGCACACACTTGGCAGCTTTCCCTCTGGGCTATGAGTTCACGCATGCCTCTGCTCAGCCAGTCCCTCGGACTGGGCCCTGTCAACGATACTACACTTCCATTCTGACTCATCGAGACCCTGGACGGGGCTTCCGAGGCTTGAAATCCTTATGGGAGCAGACAGCCTCTTCCTTCTCCCTCAGAGCATCTGGTGGATTCAAACTCCGGACCTTGCGGTTACCAGCCCCCTGCTTACCTGACAGCACCGCCTGAGCCTCTCTCAACTATCGCTGCTTTGAAACGCTCCACGTTATATTAAGAAATGCATATTCATTGTAAACAATCGAGAAAACACACTTCTGCTACCTTGAAGGAAATCCTCCTAACCTCCTGGGGTAAAGCCTAGTAGGCATGTGTTACACACACACATTTTCCTTCGCTCTGCTTTTTGCTTCATAACATCAGCCAACATATCTCACCCCCTCGCCATGTCTGACAGCACACTGTTGGTATTCCTCTGTTATCTTGATCAACGTTTTTCCTCCACTTCATTCCTGTGGGGGGTTCTCAAGGCCTAGTGGCTGCCCTTTGTTCTCTCACTTCTTCCTCCAAACAGGTCTGTGAGTCATGTGTTGATGGCGTCTTGAGACGCCATAAGTACTCAGTGATAACTTCCGATTGGCCAGACACCAGGCCGAGGTGCAGGAGTCAGAACAAACAAGACCGAAGAGCCCGTGCCCTCTTGGAGCTTTTACTCCAGGATAGGATGCAGAGTGGAAACAGGCAGTTAGCAGTGGGGGTAGGGCACAGGGAGGGGAAGAAAAGGGCCCCCGGCGGGGAAGGTGCCTGCCTTGAGGTAAAGGATGACGAGGAGGTGGGCAGGTAGGGTGCAGAAACTCGCTCTGGTGCCAAGGAGTAGTCAGTCAGCAGTCTGTCCTCAGGGGCTCATTCTGCCACAGTACCGAGGCTGAGGGAATTAGAAGTGTGCCGCAGGCAGGACTTTAGGCCTCATTTTGTAAAAGAATGTGAGTGAATAATGAAAGTTACCTCTGGTCCCACAAGAGTAAAATACAGGCATCCTTTCCCTGGAGTAGGCCAAGTCGCCTGAGCTAGCCTGGAAGGGGTTCCTAGAATTAGAGCAAGCAGAGGCTTCCGTGCAGGGGGTAGGGGAGTGGCTCAGGACTTGTTCTCTCTTTAAAACGGTTGCGGGAGGACGGCAGGCTGCCTGAGTAGCAAGCCGTGAAGACCATGAGTTGAGAGAGGTGAGCATTTATTTAATCACATAAAGTAGCCTTGCAGGCAACCCCAGCATCCCCTCCTCTCCATATAGAGAGTTTCCTGTCAACTCAGTGCCCAGGCCGTTGGAAAGGAGAGAAAGTTTGTCTGGTCCTCCCAGTTGGGCATAGCGTTTCTAAGCACCCCCTGGTTCTCTGACTTCACGGGCACGGTGCCCACATTGGAAAGCTTATGCCCCAGCTCACACTTGGTTTCCACCCTCAATCCTTTTGGAATATATAATAAGCAGTATTAAATGAAGGTCAGATTTGGTTTTTTTGTTTTTTCAAGCTTTCTAAAGTTTAATTTATTAATATTATTATTGTTATTTTGATGAGGAATTTCCTCTCTCTTTCCCCCCTCTCTTTTTTATAACAAAATACTCTTTATTGTTTAAGTGTTTCAAGAAAAAGGTCAGCTCCCCCCAGCTCGGCCGGAGAGGAGACTAACCGTTTCTGTTCTCCCTAGTTACGGAGCAACCTCCCCTGCCACCTGGCTGACATCTCTTGCGGATTACCCTGTGGTGTGGTGCTGCCTTGTGGGATGCACAAGTGTCAGAGACTGTGCCACAAAGGAGACTGCATTGTGGACGAGGCTTGCAAGCAGCCCTGCACCACCCCCAGAGCTGACTGTGGCCACCCATGCCTGGCTCCCTGCCACCCGAGCTCCCCTTGCCCCCCCACAGCTTGTAAATCCAAGGTCAGTATCCTGACCCCAGGCAGGGCCTTGCCTGTGACTCCAAGCAGAGGTCCCCAGTCACGTGTCTGAATCGGGGCCATGGGTTATAAGGGACACTGTAAAGCTCCCATGGGAAAGGTGGCATCCATTCCAGTGTTCCACCTGCTCAGTGTGGCCTATCCCAGTGAGGAGACTCAGAGCCCCTTCAGTTTAATGGGCCATGTGCCTGCTGGGTAATTCACGATGCCTGTGGTGAGTGCCCTGGCAGAGGAGTTTAAGGTGATAGGAGACGGTGTCAGTGGAGGTTTACTTGGTCTGAGGGATCAAGGCCCCACCTCCAAAGGATGTGAATGAGAGAGGCCTTGCCCCAGGTCTTGAGTCATATGTCTCCCTCTGATTCAGGCCGGTGGGGGCTGGGTGAGGGGGTGCGATCCCGCAGTGTAGGAGAAAAGCTTCCACCTAGACCTTCCTCTTCAGTAGGCAGTGAGCATGGAGGTTGTACCTAGAAAGGGACACTGGGCTGGGACGTCCCTCTGGGGCTGGGAACACCCTCCTCCGACTGTTCGCACCTGGAAGGGTACGTGCTCTCTGGTTTCTCTGTGTGGGTTGATTTGAGGGAGACCTACAAGGTCCCGTCTCGTGCCCATAGTTTCCATGTATTCAGAGTTGTTCCGCATCCATCCTCTTTCAGGTAGAGCTGCAATGTGAGTGTGGACGAAGAAAAGAGAGCATGGTTTGCACTGAAGCATCCAGTACTTATCAAAGGTTAGTGCTCATGATCGGTGGTTCCAAGATTGAGGCGGATGCAGGCACTGTGCCATCTTGTGTTTTTTCTAAAGGTTTGGGATTAAAAAATAATTTTTTTTTTTTAAAGACCAGGCTTACTGGTCAAATAGAAACTCATGAAACCCCCCAGAGATAGTGGCCCTTTAGGATTGAACATGAACTCACCCCATGGCTCAATTTCAGCCAAATACTAGTCAGGTCTACAATGGAAACAGTAACACAGTGAGGGCCTCATACCTTAGATTCATCAACTGTTTGCCAAAAGGGCCACATACTTACCTGAGGGCAAAGTTCAAGGGCATTAGGAAAGATAGGAGGAATGGAAACAGAAGATACAGGAGGAGGTGGAATACCATATATAGTCGAGTATAAGCCGACCAGAATATCAGCCGATTCACCTAATTTTACCACAAAAACTGCATTAAAAATGTGCTGGGAAACTCGGTTTATACACGAGTATATATGGTAAGTGATATTACATTGTGAGGACTGCAGTCAGTGATGTGAAACAATGTGTAGGCATTGCTGAATGGAAAACTGATCTACTCTGTAAACCCTTCACCCAATCCACAATAAAAAGTTTTACAAAATAAGCATTTTTTTACAGTTGAAAGGAAAAGTGCTGCTTCATGATCCTTTTCTTTCTTGACTTTAATTTGTAAAATAACTCTTTAATCTCTCCCTCCTCCTCCCCCTCTGTAGCACCATGGGCTAGGAAGGCAGCAGCCTGGAGTTAGTCCATTGCTTGAGCATCTCAAGCTGCCCAGGGGCACGGCCGGGACTCCGTCCTGTGCTCCTCCCCCAGTGGGGCAGGGGATTCTCACTGTCCTCTGAGGTAGGGTGGCTTTGAAGCGCCTGAAATCTTGAGGCCTGCGTGGCCATACTTAGCCCGAGGTATACAGGTGGGTGGCAAGGATTGGCCGACAGAGTTTCTGATGAGCTGTGGGGCTGTGCTGTGGGTGTGGGCGTGTGCAGGACCTGGTCTGGCCTAGGTGCCCAAAGGCACTGGAGAGTGGATTCCACATCCCCTGAGCAACTACTGAAATGTAATGGAGGAAGTGGGACCTGCACATGGGTGATTCGGAGTAGACAGACTTCCAGGGACACACAAATTGCTGTCTGAAGCTCTTCTGGTTCCCTGCTGTAGGAAGGCTCTTGTGAAACTGCAGTACTCCCCCACCCCACCTCCGTTTGTGTGTGTGTGTAATGTATATTCAAGGGGGCTTCAAAAAGTTTATAGGAAATTTATTTTTTTATTCCATCTTTCCACAAACTTTCTCTAGCCCCTCATAAAATAAAACATTGATCATCTCAACATTTTACATGTAGAATTCATTGCCAGTAATAACATCGTGTTTTATTACTATTAGATCTCTCAGGGGGAGAGAGATATCTCGGTCCTTGGTTCCGCGCGCGAGAGAAAGAATTCATGCCGAAGCCTGGTTTGTGATCCAAATGAACTTTATGAGCGGTAGAAGAAGTTTCAGGTTTACACAGGCCCCCACAGGGCTCCTCCCGAGCGTGCGGCCTGCCTGGAAACTGCTCGCAAAGTCCCGCAGTCGGCTCCGGGCCCCTGCCTTTTCAATTCCATGGGGAGGCGTGGTGGACGACTCCTGGTAGACCCCATTGGCTGAATTGAATTCACCTGGCCTAGGTGGGCCAATCCAGGTGCAGCGCCCACCCACACGTACCTGGCAGGAAACCTGAACCTCTGAGCATGTACAGTGTGCCACTCCTTTGTTTCCGTAGCTCGGACCTCTGGGCATGCGTAATGGACGCCCCAGCACCTATGCTAGGCTACCTAAAATTACCATCACCACTGCCCATTTCCAGCGCTCTCCATCATCCTGAATAGAATGAGCAGTACTGCCCCTTTCCCCTTCTTTCACCCTGAAACTTGGGTCTCTATACATTGAACTGTTCTATACCTTTCATATAGTAGATTCACACAACATTCGCCCTTTTGTGACTGATGTATTACACTCAGCTTGATGTTGTCAAGGTTCATCCCTCAGGACATTATTTCTCTCCCTGACCCAGTCTAATCTAGGGCGTGAGTGTGCCACATTTTCTTTATCCATTCCCCTGTTGGTGGGCAGTTAGGCTGTGTCCATCTTTTGGTTCCCGTGACTGGTGCCACCGTAAACATAGGCTTCTAAGTATCTGTGTGTGTTCCTGCTTTCTCTTCTTTTGCGTGCATACCTAGGAGTGGATTGTATGGTAATTCTTTGTTTTTAAACTGTTTGGGGACGCACCGAACTATCTTCCGCAAGGACTGTACCGTACCCTTTACAGCCCCACCAGCCTTAGCAGAGGGCTCTAGCTCTCCACACCAATGCCCTTTACTTTTTATATTTCAGAATAGCTGCCGTTTTCATGGCCTCTAAAATAACAGACATGCAGCTTGGAGATTCCATCGAAATCAGCAAGTTAATCACCAAGAAGGAAATTCACCAAGCCAGGTAAAGTTTGTAAATGTATTTCTCTAGCTGCTCTCCTGGGAGAATTACTGTCTAGAAGGCAGGGACCATGCATTTGTCTCAGCTCCCTGCAGTTGAACCTTCTGCACACAGTAGGCATTCCACACACTTGGCATGAGGAGGCCACTTCCTCTCCAGCCCCAACGAGCACCACCTACAGGGACAATGAGAGCAGGGGCTATGCGGTACAGAGGGGCTCCCTGCTTACTGGGCTCTGGACTTCTGGAAACAGGGATTGGAAAATGAGGAACCAGGTAGTGATGATCATCGCACCACATGATGAATGTCACAAATGTCCCCAAAGTGTGCATTTGAAACACATTGAAATAGCCAGTGCTTTGTTGTTTGTGTACATATACACGAGGAAAGAAAGACTAGAGGAGATCTCTCCAGCCTCACTCCAGACAGTAGCCAGAGGAAGCAGAGCAGAAACCCAGGCCTGCTCAGCCCAGCCTACTTGTAAGAAAGCAGAGAGCCAGAGGGGCTGCTCGGTCAGAGGGGTACCTGGAGAACATTTTGGGGACTGAGCAGGCAGGAACACTGCGGGCCTGAGGACTCCCCAGACTCCTGTAACCCAAAGACCACCTGTCCTTGGGAGGATGAAGGTTCAGGAGGCTGTGTCTTGATGTAAGGCTAGGTCCTTTGTCCAAAGTCCACCATGTCTCCCCGGGGGGCCCTCAAGCTGTGAAGCAGGTACTCTGACCTTTTTTTTGTTTTTCCCCCCTCGTCCCCCCACCCCCACCCCTGCCATGGCCTATCAAGGCTGGAGTGTGATGAGGAATGTTCAGCTTTGGAAAGGAGAAGGTAAGTCATTTCCGCAGCTGCTTGTCTATGAAACGAATGGGAGGGAGCCGTTTTCAGGCCGTCACTTGGCACCTCCTCTGAGGCTTTCGTTGCCATTGGCGAGCGAGCGAGGAGCAATCACCAAGAATTGAAGTAACTCGGGATAAATCACTTGAGCAATTCAGCACAGTGCAGAGACATGAGCTTGTGTGGTTTGGGGCTTGGTGTAAATATCATCTGCCACAACATACTTACTCAGTGACTGGCAGACTTTCTGATCCCACCAAAGATAAGAAGTTAAAAGCCATGCTTTTTTTTTTTTTTTAAACCATACTTTTTTAGTGAACTATTGTACTGAAGTATAACACACCTCTGAGGTTAGAAATGTACAAATCAGTGGATTATCGAGCAAGTGCAAGGTCAAGAACAAGAACATTAAAAAAAAAAGAGAGAGAGTGTTACCCCCAGGGCCCTCCTTCCTCCTCAAACATAGAAACTGACTTCTGCCCTGAGCCTGTCCTGACTTCTGACACGTTAGACTAGTTGTTTTGAACTGTATGTGAGTGATGGATTCGTACAGTGTGTAGTGTTTGCGGCTGGTGTCGGTCCTTCACTACACGGTCACAGTCGTTCCTCTTGTGGCAAGTAGCAGGAGTTTGCTCATTTTCACTGCTGGATAAATTTTAACCTTAGTAACTTACCATAATTTAACCATCTTAATATAATCGCTCTGTTTGTTGCTATTGATCTTGGGTTATTATACATGTTTTGCTGTATAAATGTACTTGTTTCTCTTGGAGATAAACTTAGGAGTGGAATTGCTGATTTATAGGATATATTCAGCTTTAGTAGATTCTGCCAACACTTTCCAAAGTGGTTATCTACAATTTTACACTCCCACTAGCAGTGATGGTGCCAGCTGCTGTACATCTTTGCTAACAGTAGAATAATTGGTCTTTTTGCTTTTTAGCTATGACTGTGGATGTGTAACTTACAGCCCCAATGAACAGTGAGAGGGATTGCGCACCTTTTCTTAGGTTCACATTGGCCTTTTGGGAGCTCCTCTTTAGTGAAGTGCCTGTTCGGGTTTTCTGCTTGCTTTTGAGAAAATAGATAGTAGGGTCTCTGTTTCTGCATGTTTGTGAGCTAGCATGTGCTCTAGGGTCTGGACAGTGTGTACTAGAGAGGAAGGTATACTAGGAGATTGAGCTTGTTAGATGTGGTATGCAGCTCTTCTATTTCTTTCCTTGAGAGTGGAATGTTAATGTCTCTTACTATTATCCCCAAGCTGTTTACTTCTGTTTTCAATTCCGTGAGCATTTGATTGATGTAGTTTGAGGACCTTTCAATGGGCGTGTACGTGGTTATTAAGTTTATATGTTCCTAGCGCATTGTTCCTTTAATCATTGTGTAGTGCCCATTCTGGTCTCATTTTGTTATTCGCCTTGAAGCCTTTTTATGATTGCCATTGACTTGGCACATTTTCGTCATCCTTTGAATTTTTAGTCAATTTTTGTCTTGGAGTTTAAGGTGTGTCTCTTGTAGGGAGCATATTGATAGGCCTTGTTTTCTAATCCAGTCCGGTACTTTCTGTCTTTTGATTGTGTATTTAATACATTGACATTGAGTGTCGTTATTGAGGCATGTGGATTTATTGCTGCCATTTTGCTGTGTTAGTATTTGGTTTCTCTTCCAATGGTTTTACTGGTGTCCATGTTGCTTCTCTATTTCAGTCTTGTTTTGAGTGCCGCTTTCCTTGTGTTGGTTTCTGGGGGTGGGGAGTTGTGTCCTGTCTGGTGGCTTCAGGTTTCTCTGCTGTTGTTGGCTTTCTGTCCATAGCGATTTATGGTTAATATTTTTGTAATACTGATCCTGTTCCTATGAATTCCTTTAGTTATTCCTTGCCTGAAAATAACTTCATTTCTTCTTCATATTTGAGGAATAAATTTGCTGGATTTAGGATACTTGGTTGGCAGCTTTCGTCTTTCAGAGTTGTATATATGTCACTCCATTGTCTTCATGTGCATTCTCACTGACCTCACCCCCACCGCCACCTTCTTGCCCAGATAATCCAAGTCACCAGCGTTCAGCCTATGGCTTGCTCAGACCCAAATAGATCTGTTGGTTTTTTCTTTTTTTTTATTTTTTAAACATTTTATTAGGGGCTCATACAACTCTTATCACAATCCATACATACATCAATTGTGTAAAGTGCATTTGTACTTCATTCTCAAAACATTTTCTCTCCACTTAAACCCC